AAACTCGGACACTGAGACTTTTTATGTCCCCTCTGATTGCAATGGAAGCAAATCATATCGAATATTGTAGTGGTGGTGGTAGTAGGTGTACAATCTCTGCTCATATTCTTGGTCCTGCCACACTTGTAGCAACTGGGACTTCCTGCCTTGCACGGCCCATCGTGAAATCTCCCATACTTGCCACACCAACTGTGGCCCTGCTGTCCTCCAGATCTGTGATCTGATACCTTGGGATTTTTTCTCGTGCTCCCAGTGCCAGGTACCGCCTCTGGCTTCCTCTTCTTCTCCATCTCTAAATCTCTCTCTCTCTCTCTCTCTCTCTCTCTCGCCATAGCAATCATGTCATCCAACGTTTTACAGCTGGACCGGTTCACAAACTGGCGGATATCACTCTGCAACATCTCATGATAACGAGCCTTCTTCATTTCCTCGTCAGCTGCATACTGAGGAACAAGAAGAGCTCTCTCCCTGAACTTGGGGTGGTAATCTCCGACACTGTCTCTGTAGTCTGAGTAAGATCCTGAAACTCCCTGGCTAACTGTCGCACCTCAATAACCGGTGCAAACTCGGATCTGAACCTAGTAGTAAAGTCAACCCAAGTCATCACATCAAGAGTTGCGTCATGCCCAATGACATGTCCAATCTCCTCCCACCAATCTTGTGCCCTGTCCTTGAGAAGACAGGATGCTAGTCTAACCTTGTCCCCCTCGGGACATCTGCTGGTGCGGAATGCGTTGGCGACATCTGCCAACCATCTGGTACTCGCAATAGGGTCGCATGCCCCATGGTAGTCTAGAGCTCGACAAGCTCTGAACTCCTTGAAAGTGAGTGTGTGCGACCCCATCATGGTTACCACCTCAGCACGGAATATGCTCAACCTCTCATCCATCAACTCCAAAATAACCTCCTTGACCGAACCAAAGATCATAGGAGTCTGCTCGAGTATGATATGGGTAATCTCTAAAGAGAAAAACTCCATTGTTTGCTCATCCAAATGCTCGGCCACCGAGCCTGATCCGGATCCCTCACCGGCACCTGAACTGCCGCCTGTTGGTCTAGGGCGTAAAACCACCATTCTAAAAACACATCAATTCAAACGTCAAAAACACTAATATATCTCGAGGGATCGCTACTACTACAGGTTTCCTAGCCTCGCCTCGGGCTTTCTTGATTCTAGTACGGATCATTTGCTTTCAGTAGTACGGGCCCATACTACATTCCACATCTATCCGTACTTTTCTCAAGAACTGCCTCGACTCCACCAAGTCACTACTACTGCTACTAATCTCTGCTACTCTCATCCTAGGCTTACCTTAGGGGAAGTCTCTGACTTAAACCAGTCCTCTGCTGCTGATGGCCTCCTTGTAATGCCAATTAGCCATTACCTGAATACCATTGTTAGAGTTTAAATTTTGTAATATGTCGAAGTGTTAGTTGTTACGAAGGGTCTTTAGTCTTCGTAAGAAGATTCTTCGGAAGTAATGTTATTTTACTAAGGCATTTTAATGAATAGTCTTAATGTCTAGTCCTTAGTATTTTTATTATGCTTTTGTACTCCTATAAATAAGGGTCTGTACTAAGTGAGTAGGAACTTTTCACTGAGTCTTTATAGAATATTCTTTGTACTCTATAAAATCAAGAGCATAATATAAGCTGAACCAAGATTATATTTACTCTCGTGTTCATCGTTTTTCTTCTTTCTGAATTCTTACATGAATTGATCTTAAACTCGATTACAAATCTCATCAATTGGTATCAGAGCAGGAATCCTTTCTGTGATCTGAATTTCATATGATCAAAAAGGTTTTTGAATCTACTATTTGATTCAAAAAGTTTCCGTCCTTTTTGAATTGAAAAATTCTTCCTGATCTCAATCTAGGATTTGATTCTGCAAAAATATTTGTAAATCGAGTGTTCGTTGTGTGATTCTGAATTGAATTATACAATCTGATTTCAATTTTCTCAAAAGTTTTTGTATCATCTTGAAGTTTTTGTTCGTACAACAATGGCGTCATTCAATTTGAATTCGATGACATCATTTTCTCATTTGCTTGGATCATCCACAAAAATTCCAATGCTTATTCCAGAATATTATGATCAGTGGGTAGATAGGATGGAAGATTACTTGAATGGATTGGATGAAGAATTATGGAAATGCATCACAGGAGAAGTCAATCAACCTGCACAAGTTCAGCCAATCGGAATGTCTTCAAGTAGTTCAGAAGTTGATAATCAAACCGAACGTCTAAAACGACTGGAGAAGAAATGCATGAGGGAATTAAGAGGTGCATTGCCTCTTGTTGTGTACAATTATGTCAGAACATGCAAAACAGCTAAAGAAATCTGGAACAATTTCAAAGACAAATTTCAAGGAAGTGAAAAGACGAAGATCACATCTGTGAAACAATGCCTGGTGGAACTCAAAGATTTCAGACAAAAAGAAAATGAGTCTATTGAAACATACTATGATAGGTTCAACGAGCTAATCTATCGTTGTAACCGTTATAGTATAATCAGGTCACCAATGGAGTACAATTTGATATTTGTAATGGGACTTCGAAAGGAGTGGAGGAGTGTGAGTATGATGGTGAAAAATCAACAGAGCTTTGATACTTCGACTTTGAATGACTTGTACAATCAATTAAAATCTCATGAAAATGAAGTTAATGAAATAGCTGAGGAAGCAAAAGCAAGTCTTGGTGGATCATTGGCACTAGTTTCGAAGGTCTCATAAAGAGAGAATGAAAAATCGAAGTCTGATGAAGAAGAAGGTTTTCTAATGAATTCTGATGATGAGGCTGTTGCATTTTACTCAAACAATAGAGTAAAGAAATTTTTTAAGAAACCTTTTAATCCAAAGAAGTCATCAGATTTGAAGGTTGTTTTGAGAACAAAAACAAACTGGATGAAAAGAAGAAAGAAATGAAGACAGATTTGAAGAATGAGATGGAGCAAATGAAGATGATGTTGAAAGGTGATACAGGGATTAATTGCCATTATTACTATGGAGCAAATCATTTGGCAGTAGATTGCTTGTTGAGGAAGAAGGAAGAAAAGAAAAATAAAACAAAAGATGAAGCATGCTACACTGAGAAACTGGAGGAAGTAAAGAAGACAACAAAGAATTTGTCATTAGTGGCTCATGGAGAAACTGAATCAGATGGCACATATCAAATATGGTCTTCGGGTTCAGATGATGAAGAGATGAAAAATCCAACTCATGGAGCTATGTATGCAAAGATGGAAGAGGATTCAGAAGATGAACAGACTGACGAAGTGTGTGGGCAATGCTTTGTTTCGAAGTCTACTGACAGGTCGCCCATGACTACCAAGGTACGTAACATTCTTGAATCTTTTAACATTCCAGTTTCTGCATATAATTCTGAGTTAGTATCTTTTGATGAAACTGTTACTTACTTTGATTCAATCGTTGTGTCTGCTAGCAATGAAGCGAAAAAGTTAAGTGATCATCTACTAGAGACAACAAAAATGTTGGATTCAAAAGTCACTAGAATTGATTACTTAGAATTTCAAGTTTCAAATATTATGGAGGATAGAGAAAAATTAGCAATTGAAGTAAATTTGTTGTTAGCACAAAGAAATATTTTCTGAAATTCGGTAAAAAGATTATATGGAAAATTAACTGAGTTACATCATTCGTGTGAAATAAGTAAGGAACAACATAGAAAATTACTACCATTTTTAGCTTATGATAGAGCTAAGGTAGATAGTATTTCATATGATTGTGAAAAGGAAATTTCTGATTTCAAAAAAGTTCCAGATGATAGGTTTAGATTTGGAATTGCTAATGTCGAAGATTATCAAACAGTCCTATCTCTTGATGACGCTTGGTGTATGATAAGCGTGTAAGGCGTGTTGATAGTTACGATTGTTACTTTTTGATGAGTACATTCCGTTTTTCAAGGTGCCATGTCAGCAAGCATTTAATGCATCCCGCTTCAAATTCAAAATTCTAGGGTTACATATAAAAGGGCAAATCAGAACTCATTAAAACTTTACGCGATCAAACTCTCTGAAATATAAAATTCTCTATACAATTCATCTTCTTCATAAGTTCTTTATCAAATCATCATCAATGGCGACTACTTCATCACCAACTATAGATGAAATAATCAGTGTTCCGATTCTAAAGTTCCAGGGTTCCAACAATCAAGTCGAATCGGATTTGTCAAAGTATCCGGAGGAACTTCACATGCTTGTGGTTGCTTTACAGAATTCAGTTTCTGTCTAAAGCAATGTTTGATTCATTTGCTGCTCCGATATCCTGGTTGTCAAAGGCGGGTTCTACTACATCATACAACAAGGAGACAGGTTGTGTGGAATTCACAATGGTTAATGATACGAGAATTGGGGTCTCCAAGCGGTTATTTTGCAAGATTTTGGGAATTCTGAATTCTGGTCCTTATGATGAACTTTCTTCTTCACAAGTGGTGTTCATGTTCAACGAGATGGGTCATCAACCTCCATTGACGCGAATCAGTGATTTCAAGAAGTCGGGGTTACCAACAATCTGGAATTTTTTATTTGGCATCTTTCTTCGACGTGTTACTGGAAGAACTGTGGGGCTTGATAAAGGAAGGATGGAGGTGTATGCAATGATAGCTGGGTTGTATTATGATTTGCAAGTCGATTACTCTGAACAATTATGGACAGAGTTCTTAACAAGCATTTCGAAGACAAGTGCTAAGCAGGGGATTTCTTGTGCATGATATTGGAGTCTGATAGTCTAATATGTCTATCAGAAGGAAAAAATCGAAGTTCCGAAATACGAAGAGAAAGCAGTTTTCCACATGTATGGTAGTCCGAAGGAGGTTCATGATGATCCGGCTATTTTTACCACAGTTGCTCGCATTCCGGATGCAATGCTCAAGAAGGTGGATCCCACAAATAATGTGTTGGTGTCCTATTTGCAATCTATTGACACAACCATTGTTACTGGGATGTTACAACAAGAAGAGAAGAAGAAGTCGAAGAAATCAATGAAGACAGAGAGCGAGTCTTCGGAAAAAGGGGTGAAAGCAGAACAAAAGAATGAAGAGCTAATAGTTACATCTAGAACTGTCGAAGAGGTGTCTCCTGTTTTAACTTCAGTGGCTGATACACTGGTTATCGATGCCTCTTCATCAAAAGAAACGATTCCTTCGAAGACGGGGGTTTTTCGAAGAATAAAAATCAACAGAAAATCTCAGTTGGTGAAGAAAACATAGGTTACTCATAAAGGGGTTACCGTTTGAGAAATTCCAGCTCCGGTGTCTCCATCTTCTAAGAAACGAAGGGCTGAAGATATGACAAAATTTTTAAAGAAAACCCAACGTATAGAAGAAGTGGATCAAGTTCCTGAAACTCCTGAAGATGAAATTCCTAAAGAATTTGAGATTCTTCAGTCTACTGAAATTTCGAAGCTTGATGATATAAAGCTCATTGAACCAACATCTTTACCTCAGGTTACTTCCACAACTGATTCTCCAACATTCCAATCTATTATGGATCAACCTTTCACCACTATATTCTCCACACAATCAACCGATCCACCAAATCCATCATCACCTGTTGCTGAAACCATGGTTGTTGATGAGGAAACTGATAACGAAGGATTTGGAGGAACATTCGAAGCTCTTTCCTTTGATAAAGCTGAAGAAGATTTCCTTGACCATATGCTGATGACGATGAAGCAGTTCAAGATATTGAATTCAAAATTAAATTCTATCTTGCAATCTCAAGCGGATGTGGGAAGTGCTGGAATCACTATCATGGAAGTTGATTCCATAATAAAGGAATTGGAAAGCAGGATGATTTTGAAGGCATCAGGGTTAATACGTGATTCTGAAAGCCACATTCTTGAGAAAACTGATCAGAATGATAGTTCTACAGAGAATAGAATCAATTCTCTGAGATATGATTTTCTGAAGGAAGTGAAGGATTTGAAGACTGTTACGAAGGAGCGTCATGTGCTCTTTGTACAGGAAGTTAAGAAGGTTCGAGAAGACGTTAATATGCAAATTCATGAACTTCGTGAAACGATGACGAAGGAGGTTCAGCATATTCAACAAGGGTATGAATCAGCACATCAGAAGATCGACATTATTTGTGATGCGGTTGTTCAGTGTGTTAAGATGTTCGAACAAGTCAATCCTCAGATGATCTCTCTTTCAGCCAAAGAAGAACAACATTTTGCAGAGTTGGTGAAACTGATGAAAGAACTCCAAGAAATATCTTCGAAAGTTTCTTCACCAATTATTTCTCAAGAATTTCTTTGTCAGAATTTCATTCATTTCGAAGCCATTCTATAAAAACACCTTGCTCCATTACTTCGAATTTCAAGCCTTTTGCCAAACGTATCAGATGCCCCACCTGCTGTCACAGGGGTGCAAGGGGGAGAAAAGGTTGGTCAAGTAAAGGATGGGGAACATGAGAAGAAAACTGAAGATACGAAGGTGGTAGGAAAGGTTTATCCTTTGAAAGTTGTTGTTAAGCCAACAATTGTTTCAGCTACTCCAGTTATTTCAACTGTGACTATAACTGTTCCAGTTTCAAGACCTATTTCAAAAGGGATTGTAATTGTGAATCAAAGTGATGTCTCTTTGTCAAAGAATGTAGCTCCTTCGAATGATAAAGACAAGGGAAAAGGAGTTTTGGTTGAGAAGTCTAACAAAGAGAACAAAGTTGAGGTGGCAACTGAGATTGAAAGAATGAGGCAAGTTGAAAGTATAATGAGACAAAGAGCTCTAGAAGGTTCGAATGTTGATAAGGGGGATCCATCAAAAATGTACAATTACGAAACAATAGAATCCAGGGTGATGTTCGATCACATGTATTCTTTTGAAAAGATTCCGAAGAAGAGCTTTGTGGTGACAAATACTGATTTTGGTCAACTTGATTTTCCAATCAACGAAATGATGTTCGTTATGCCACAGTTCAAGGCTGAGACAAAGTCTATGGATACCGAAGAAGGAAAGAAGATGAAGATAAGATTTCATGCTGTGTTAGCAAAGGCTCAAGAAGAAGTTTGGTTCTTGGAGAAGATCAAAAAGGTGATATCTATAAAAAGGGATGTCATTTTCGAAGGGAAGTTTCAAAATATGAAATATACTGTGACAAGAGCAAGTGGAAAGTTACAAGAGTTTACTGTGGCAGACTTTACATTGATGAACACTTATGATCTCATCAATGTTGCCCTGATACTTAAAGACAAGTTATTCTCTTTTCTCCAAGATACAGAACCAGATGCTTTCAGTCTAGGGTGTAGGCACAAAAAAATATTCTTGGAGAATTATTTTGAGTGCTTAGCTCAAACTGATGTCGAACTTGCTACTGTTAAAGGCTTCGACATGACTGCACCAAGGGCTCCTACGAAGAAGCAGGTTGAGTTGAAAAAGTACGAAGATGGTGAAATATGTTTAAAGCCATTGGGGATTGTCTTTGCAGGAAAGGATAAAGCTGGAAGAGCTAAAAGATTTTTGTTTCAAACTTCTGAAGTGGAGAGATATACAAATTCACAATATACGAACTTAATTGTTCGTATGAATCATTGCAAGAAGAACTCAGAAGGAGACAAGAAGGTGATAAAGAAAGTTATCTCCTGGTATATGGAAATCCGAAGAGTGTTGATGTATGCCGTTCAATTACTAACTTCATGAAGACTTCGACCTTTATTCCAAAGGGGGAGATTATTAGAGTTTAAATGTTGTAATATGTCGAAGTGTTAGTTGTTACAAAGGGTCTTTAGTCTTCGTAAGAAGATTCTTCGGAAGTAATGTTATTTTTACTAAGGCATTTTAATGAATAGTCTTAATGTCTAGTCCTTAGTATTTTTATTATACTTTTATACTCCTATAAATAGGGGTCTGTACTAAGTGAGTAGGAACTTTTCACTGAGTCTTTACAGAATATTCTTTGTACTCTGTAAAATCAAGAGCATAATATGAGCTGAACCAATATTATATTTACTCTCGTGTTCATCATTTTTCTTCTTTCTGAATTCTTACATGAATTGATCTTAATCTCGATTACAAATCTCATCAATCATCACATATGACGAGGCTCAGATAATCCTTCGAGTAAAACACTCATCCCTAAAACGGTTAGACTCAAACAAGAGTTGTGCAGTAGGGCCAAATCCAACTCTATGAGATTATTCAACCCTGATCACATGTGACATGGCGTATTCACCTAACGACTAACTCCCATCACTCAGAGTCCCAGAAGGTACAAAGCAAGCAACATTCGATCACAGGAACTGCTCAAGCAAATATATTCTCATAATGAGAATATATACTATCATACAATGCTAAGCTCATACTATCAGGCATAACCTAAGTAGGCTATCCTACAACTATCTACTCAATACTAGCATGCAATTCTCATAAAGTTGAAACACATATAGCAGACACACAAGGCATCATCCCTAGATCCTTAGTCCTATTCTAGCATGCTGTTCTACTGAAACTGAAACTGATAATCATAACATAAACTTGTATGGGTAATTTGGGAATACTTACTTGAGCTCGGCTGATCGCATGCACCACACCCTTTTCTCCTTTTAAGAAAACTCTTTTTCTTTCTAAGTTCCTCTTTTTTTCAAAAATTCTTTTTGAAAACATTTCTCTTTTGAAAATCTTTTACCATTTCCTCAGTTTGAGTTCACACACACTCGTAAGCGTGATCAAATCCCTCAAACCAAGGCTCTGATACCAACCTGTAACATCCTAAAAACATGACCCAAAAATTTTGTTTTGATATTTCTTAAAATCACATCATCGAATGTCATATATAATAAGAACCATGAAATGCGTAACACAAAATTCATAGTAACTTTTTCTAAAAAAACTTTATCAATCAAAACAAAATATCTTAATAAAACTCCCAGGATAAAACTAAAGTTGTGGTGTGTGCGATGCCATCAACCCGAGCTCTTCCCTTTGCTAGCGGAAGTACCTGAAACCAAAACTGAAACTGTAGTGCCCCGATTCTCAGGTATTGCTTAAATAAGATTTATTGGGTCCATCTCTACTCAACGACTTGGTTGACCTACTCGTCGAGTAGCAGCGGGGTGGGATCGCGTTTTAAGTAACCTACTCGACGAGTCCATGTTGGGACTTAACGAGTAGGAGCTGACAGTGAAAACCCTAAATCCTGGGGTTTGCACCTCTATTTAAAGGAGCTTTAGCCTCCTTTAGCCTCTTTACAGTCTTTGAGAGCCCCCTAAAAACCCTAATTTGTGTGTGTGTGCCTTGGTGTGGTGTTGAAGCTTAGAAAGAGGATCTTGGAGGAAGAAAGCTAAGAGTGCAAAGGAAATTGAAGCAAGGAAAGAGTGGGAAGCTGGATTTACCTCAGCTAGCATCCTTTGGAGGTATCAAAGTGCCATTTTTACTTCCCTTTTCCATTTTGTTGAGTTTCTAAGGCTTTTATGGATTTTCAAGTTGGTATGATAAGTTATGGGCTAGATCTGAAGTTGTAACTTCAGATCTGGACCCTCCTTGTATTTTAGAAGCATAAAGTCATAGTCTTGGTTGTGATTAAGGTCCCTATTGAGCATGAAGTTCCATTAAGAACTTAGAATAAACATTTAGAGCCTTTATAGTCATGCATGCACGTAAAGTTTGCAACTTTACATGATAAGCATGCCCTAGAAGCTTGGATCTATGAGTTAGAGCTATTGCATGGATCAAAACAAGTCTGTATGGAAAAAAGACTGAATGGACTCGATGAGTCACAAGGTTTACTCGGCGAGTCACATGAAGATGGCCGTGAACTCGACGAATTGATGAACAACTCGGCGAGTCCGATGAAGATCGCCAGAAGACTCGACGAGTTGAACAACAACTCGACGAGACGGATGAGTTTTCTTTGGGATATGTATGAGTGTGTATTCATCGAGTTGCAAGGAGGGAACTCGATGGGTGACCTTAAGTTTGATCGAGAATCAAAGAAACTCGACGAGTCTCTCTGATGACTCGGCGAGTTGGAATGTACTTCAGCCAACTCGGCGAGTACCCAAGGGTACTCGGTGAGTTAAGGTCAACATGGACTGTTAACCTTGCTGAGGACTTTGACTTTGAATAGGGGTTGACTAGTGGGTTATGGAGAACCTTATAAGGTTAAGGACTTATGAGTATGTTGTGCTATGATGATAGGTGGTGGGGCCTGTGTCAAGTGAACTGAGAGTTGGAGTTTAACTTTCGAGTCGACATCTGCAAGGTGAGTTATCCTCAATATATCGATAGGGTCTACGGCACCAAGGTCGACCCCTTTAGTTGTTATTGTTATTGTATGTTTCATGTGGTTATGATCTATTAGTTCGGAATCGAGGTAGACAGTATGTTATGCTCTTATGATCTGTAGGGATTGGTATGTTTATGACCTGCTAGGTCGGTACTCTAGTTACAGGAGAATTCTATGATTGATGATCAGTGTGACAGATATGTTTGATGTTTATATATGCATGTATATGATAGTATGCACACATGGTTATTTGCTTGTGACCGGGTTGAGGCGGTCCTGCTTTGTGCTGAAGGCCAATATACCCTATGAGCGGTCCTGGGAGACTGTAGGCCCACGTGGCAGACCAGTCATACCGAAGGCTCGGGATGGATTCAGACAGACTGTAGGCCCGGTAGGGCAGTCTAGTCAGGCCAATGGCCCAGTATGCATGTTGATCGAAATGATTATTACTATTGTGGTATTGTTAGTGTGGTATTGGTATTTTGGTGGTAGCTCACTAAGACCTCGGGCTTACAGTTTTCAGTTTATTGTTTCAGGTAGTTCAGGAGATCGTGGAAAGGCGAAGGCGTGACCGTATCACTCCTCATCCTTATGTTATGATTTTTGGGACACTTTGATGAAAAATGATTTGAAAACATTTTGTAAACAATGCTATGTGGTTTTTATTTATGATTGAAAAAGTTTAAATTTGGCGTAAAATCTATGGTTGTTATAAGTTGGTATCAGAGCCTTGGTTTGAGTGATATGAGGAACACTCGTGTGAATCCAGGCTCAAATCAATGAGATTTTCGGAAATAAGTTTTAAAATGGTTTTCAAAATAAAGGATGGAGGATGCAGAGGGTACGATCAGCTGGAGCCTGTAAGTAAACCCCAAAATACCATGCAGCTAATTGATATTATGATATGTTAGAACAATATGCTAGTGCTAGGCTAGGGATCTTCAGGAATCACATGATAGATTTTCCTGATTACATGATGCCTATTAGCCTAGGGTTTCTTGTATGTGGAATTGACATCATAATTGTAGATGTTTAGTGTATGCATCACGGCTATGCATAATAAAGACCT